GATGGGTATTAAAGAGGGCACGTTCTGCGTGGAGAAAAAAAAAAAAAAGAGTTCAAAGCTCGAATCTGCCCCCAGAGCCTGTTCTGCTCTTCGAGGCAACTTCATCTTCTGAATTGGACTTGCCTCTGGGCACGCGGTTTTCCCTTGAGGACCAGATGCCACCCTGGAGCCAGACTGAGCTCCCCTCCAAGCAGGTGTTCTCCAAGGAGGAAGCAGGACAACCCTCAGAAACCCCCATGGCCAGCCAGGGCTCGGACAAGCCCTCGAGAGACCCTGAGACTCCCCGATCTTCGGGTTTTAAGCACAATAGACGTAAAGCAATTGGCAAGGTACTAGGGAGATCTCCCCTCACAATCCTACAGGATGACAACTCCCCTGGAACTCCGACACCACGACAGGGTAAGCGGCCTTCTCCCCTGAGTGACAATGCTAGGGAGCTAAAAGAAGGGGCCATTCTGGGAACTGGACGACTTCTGAAAACTGGAGGCCGAGTGTGGGAGCGGGGCCAGGACCAGGACAAGGAAAATCAGCCCTTTCCAAACTTGGTGGAGAACTAGGCCGACTATGGCCCCAGCACTGGCTTCACCGGGGGCCTAGTGATGTTGCGTCCCCTCAACCCCATCTTTCCCTGGGAGACTGGAAAGGCTTATTGTCTTCAACCTCCCCCACAAACTCCCAGCTCGGGGACTGAGTGCTTTTGGGGGCTCTCTTTGTGTCTCGTGTGTTTCTTGTATATTAAAGAAAGTGGTTTAAAAAAAAAAAATCTCCAACTGGCGGGTCAAGGGCTGAATTTTGTATTATGCTTAGACGACACAGTGTTTAAAATATAATAAATTTTAACAGCTTTGGTGGGCCATGCTATCCCAGATATATTCTATTTGTCTCCTCAGATCCATTCTCCACTTTTTTTTCTATCTTGTCCCGGTCCCAGGAAGTTGACCCATGTGGACTCACTAACGGGCTCCCTTCCCTCTGGTTTCCAGATGGAGTCGGCCAAGGAGAGGCACCAGCAGGAGACTGGAGGGTGAGAAAAGCGTGAGGCTTTCCCCTGGATCCCTGCCCCCTGCAATCTCCCTGCTCATCCTCCTGGCCCAGAGGTGGTCATGGTTCCTCGGCTATTCCTGTCACATTTCTCCTCTATCCCTTTGGTTCCTCTCCACCATCCGCACACCTTTGTAATTTGTCCCTTGTAAATAAACCCTGTTGGGTTATCCTAACTTGAAAATGTCATCTATTTCCTCCTGGGACACTGTTGGGCCCCTGTTGGGATATTCTCAAACTCTCCTCAGTTTGCCACAGTCCCCACCATTCCCTATTGCCCCAAGGGAACCTGATCAGCCATCTCCATGTATGTTACCTGCCTGGCCGCTCTCTTCATTTCAGTTTGAGACTCCCCAGCCATAAGTTAAGGGCTAAATCCTGGGCAAGAGGGACTCCACTGACTCCACTTGAATGGGAGGAGACAGAAGAGACCTGAATGGGGAAAGGCTGGGGGATGGGTAGGATCTGCAAAGGGGAGGAAGAGAGTGTCAGTCACTCCGCATGAAGGCATCAATCTCCCCTCCCCGGAGTCAATGTCCTCCTGAGGGTCCAAGACCAGTGGGGGCTGAGGGTCTCTCTTCTTTGCTGGGGCCCCCTCTAGGGTCTAGGATGAATTGGGCCCGGCCCTGAAGGTGCACCTGCAGGGAGCCCCCTGCCCCCCCAGCCTACACTAGCGCTGAGCATTTGCGCCAGTGCACACCCGAGTAGAGGCAGGGCCTCTGTGATTGAGAAAACAAATCGACAAAAGGGCTGGCGGCCCTCCAGCCCTCCTCCTCGCCTCCCTGCCTCTCAGCTCACTCCCTTGGGTCTCCCCTTCCAGAACTCCCCTCCGAGGACTCTACATCCTCTAGCCTTCTTTCTCCCGTCCCCTTCCTCACCCTGGCCCCCTCCCCAACCCTCTTCCGAATGCCTCTGCCTTTGCTCCTTCTCACCCCTTCCCTCCCCCTCCTGCCCACTTCTCTTTTCCTTCCCTGGGACCTTTCCTCCCTGTCTTCCTTCTTTCTCCTATTTTCTGCCCTCTTCCTCTCCCTATCCTCCTCCCCCTCTGTGCCCATCCAGGCCTCCGAGCCCCCCGCCCCACCCCCGCCCCCGCCCCATCCATCTTTCCCTCTTCCTCCCCCCACAAGCCTGGCCTCCTTTGCTTCCTGACAGGGAGCGGTTGGAGAAAGATGGATGGAGATGACACACAGGCTCCTGCGTGACTGCCACCCGGTGATGCACTGGGAGCCGTCCTGGCTCTCTGTGGGAGCCATACAGATGAGATGGTGACCCCTTGCCGTGCAGGGTCAAGGACATCAAGGGCAGAGGGCTGGGGCCCAGGGAGGGAGGCTGGGCCAGCATGGGCTGGGCTCTCTCCCCACCTCCTCTTCCAGGGGCCCAGCAGTAGGCAAAGGACCCGTCCGTCCCCTCTGAGTGTTGTGCCCCTAAAAAGAGTACAACAGCGTCGAGGGACCGCCAGGAGCACACACACACTGGGCCCAGCCTGAGACCAGTAATCAAAACCCTCTGTGCCTCAGTTTCTCCATTTGTAAAGTGGGAATAATAGCACCCCATGCAGTGGGTTGTTGGAGGACTCAGTGAATTGATCCCCATACAGAACTTAGCCCCACATAACCGGCACGGGACAAGCACTCAGGAAGTGTGCGCCAGCATTATCACGCATCGTTCTACTCCTATTGAGTATCGTCTGCAGAAGGATAGCACACAGCCTGTAAAGTTGCCGTGCAGGTTCAGTGAGAAACACACAGCTCAGTGCCCAGGACAGGGGGTAATAAGCACTAACGCGGCTGGGTGCCCTCTGAGTGTTAGCCCATGGTCCGATGATATGGGTACTTTTATTCCCACTGTAGGGAGAAGGAAACTGAGCCCAGAGCAGTTCATCTTTTGCACTAATGGAGATGGTTTCTCCACCAGGATGTTGTGAGCGATAAGATGTGAAGATTCTCTTCCCCAGACATCAGTTCTGTGTGCAGAAGCTGCGCCCCAATATAGGTGCTTACATGAGTCTGGATGAGCAACAGTGGGCTGAATATCCAGGGTCTGGGCTGCTCTGGACTCCAGGGACATCCTTTCTCGTGACCTAGCCAAGGCCCCTGGCACCTGGCAAAGGGCCTGGTATAAAGAACTTGAAGTATTGCTCCTGCAGAGGGACCTGGGTAGATCCAGCTTGATATTTCTTGGGGCAGGTAGAGTGAGGAGGAAGACCCCAGTCAAGGGCATCACCCAACCTCTGGACCCCAAACTCCTAACTGTCTCCCTGGAAAAAGTGGCTGGAGGCCTCTCAAAGTAGATTCAACTGCAAAATAAGTAAGCACAGGAACTCTGCCTGTGGATAAGTCCCAATCTGAACTCTCAGAAAGTAATCAGGGTGTGGAATTGCGAGATGTTTTTCTCTTGCCTTTTGCCTACTGTCCCAGGCAACACGCTGCTTGTGAAATCAGAGGCTGTTTTAAAGTAAAGGAAAAACCTTGGGCTGTGGCATCAGACACCCCACCGTTTCTTAACCAGAGACCTTGCTCAGGCAAGGAACTCTCTGAGCCTGTTTCCTCATCTGCAAAATGCAGTTAATAATAGTGCCTACCTGGTGCGGTGTGTGAGAATTTAATTTACTCACTCATTCATTCATTCATTTAACGAATATTTATTGAGAATCTACTAAGAACCAGGCACTGTTCTGGGCACTGGGGATACAGCGATAAACAAAATGTCAGAAATCCCTGTCCTCTGGTGCTTACAAACAAATGAGAGGAGACAGACAAGAATACACAAACACACACACATACACACACTTGCATGCACACACACACAGATGCACACGTGCACACACACTGCCAGGTCACATGGTCCCTTCCCCAGCCCCTGGCCCTACTGTCCTAAGCCAGCCCACAGAGAGCCAGCTAAGTTCCCAGAATTACCCAGGGAGGAGGAAGCCCACCTTCCTACATGACAGCTCACTTACCTTCACTCTCTGAAGAGGCTTTGCATGTTTCTACTTGCTCTCTTCCGTGCCTGTTTTTGCCACGCCCATTGGTCCATGGAACAAGGTGAGAGATACATGGGCATGGGTCCCTAGCCAAGGTGCCCCAGCCACACTCAAACTAGTGTAGCCCCCTTAGGCCAACCAACCCTCAGCAGCATGAGCAAACCCAGGTGGAATGAACTAAATCCTAGCCACCCACAGCAAAGTGAAATATAATGAGGTGTTGAACCCACTGCATCTTGGGGTAGTTTGTTACACAGCATTAGTTGACTGATAACAGGAGTCGTGGAAAGGCATGGGCTTTGGAGTCATTAGACTCTAACTGAAGCCCTGCCACAGACTCACTAAGTGCAATTAGGCAAATTGCTTAACCTCAGGGGCCTCATTGTCTTCATCTGTGAAGTGGGCATGAAAAAATAGCTGCCTCACAGGGTTGTCATGATAACTAAATGGAGAGTACAGCTCCTGGATTTAAGTAGGTGCCCGCTGGATGGTGGTTAATATTAGCAGTCATTAGTAAGGGTGTTTCTCTCTGGATGACAAGGGGCTTTGCTTCTCCATGCTCAGTAAATATTCACTGGTCAGTTCAGGAAAGTTGCCCCCATTCTGGGAGCTGGGACACAATGGGAAGAGAATTGGATCAAGTTAGAAGTTTGGGTTTGAATCCTAGCTCCACCACTTCAAAATTAGTCTCTTCCAAAAATCCAAAAACCCCCAGCAAGGGACTTAACTTCCAAGAACCTCACATTCTCCGTCTGTGGAATGGGAGTGACTGGACCCACGGGGGCCCCAGGTGTCTTCTTGCTGCTCCTGCAATGGACAGACTGCCCGGCATAGTGTCTGCCACATGGCACCTGCTCACAGATCAGTTCTTGCCCTTCTTATACAGCAACTGTCTCCAGGGCTGAAGCCGTTTAGATGACTCCCCACCCCAGTTTTGGAGACCTGGCTTCTCTCCTCCCCAAGCTCTGGAGTCAGACTGTCTGGTTTAGCCCACCTTGAGCTCTTTGTGCATCCTGAGCATCCTTGTGCATCCTGAGCAAATAGTTTTTAGCACTTCTAAACCTCAGTATTGCTGCCTGTAAAATGGAGAGTATAAAATAAATCTATACCATTTTTCTAGAGAGGGAGAGGGGAGGGGCAGAGGGAGAGAGAAAGAATCCATGCCCAGCACAGAGCCCGACCCTGAGATCATGACCTGAAGCGAAATCAAGGGTCCCTTGCTTAACTGACTGAGCCACCCTAAACCTATACCATTTTTGAGAGGGTTTATTTTCCTTTATGTCACCCAAAAAGCATGCTCACCAAGGTTTGGGGTGGGGAAATAGAGAAGGAAGGGAGAGAAAGCCCAGACCCCAGGGCCCACCAGAAGGCTCATCTTCAAATTTCCGCTCTTAGAATGACTGGCTCCTTCCCGCAATTCAGATCCCAGCCCCGTGCTGCTGTCCCCCCAGAGGGGCTGTCCCTGAGTCTCCCCACTTCCCCATGCCCTGTTCTATGTGCTTCAGAAAAGCCACAACAATCTAAAAATTGACCCGTTCATTCATTTAATTGTTTACAGTCTCCCACATGGGACTAGAAGCCCCGTGAGGACAGGCACTGTGCCTGGCTGGCTCCCAGCTGGACCCACAGCA